TTTCCATTTCTTTTAGAAGTGAAATCTACAGCCCTGACCCCTTGGAAAGGTTGGTATATTTATTTCTCAGGCAGCTATGCCATAGTGAGGACGGGATATGCAAAACCCTCTGTCTGCTTGCAAAGTGCCTCCTCTTCTGAGCTAACCCCAGAAGACAGCCCAGAGGGCCCCCAACCCTGCCCTCGGCTGTCTCTCTGTCAGTTTAGATTAACCCACCCCCAAGGACAATCCATTCTCCCTGGGTAGCTTCCACTTTCAGAAGTCTAACTTCTCTGCTGGCAGCACTAATGAGCACCTGTCAGTGCCCAGAATAGCTCCATGTCTGGGTGCCTCTGTCCTAGGCCTGCCTCTTTCCTCACACACGGATGCTCTAATGCAACGATCTTAGACCTTGCATGCTGCCCTTCCCTTAACCCATTCTCTCTCTCTCTCTCTCTCAGAACTGGAAGGGCAGTGGTTGGAGGAAGAGGAAAGTGGAATGTAGGGGGAGGTTCTCGTGTGAGTCACTTGGGCACGAATAAAACGAGGTTATCAGAGGCTTTCATTCTTGCCAGATTTTTCCGATGAACGATGGACACTCGTCACAGCTCTCTGGGACCCTCACTGTTCTGATAGTGAGTGTCTTTGGGCCTCTGAAGCTCTCTAAGGAGATAGAGGCAGTAAAGGCATCCAACATGGAGGGGTAACTAGATGAAGAGCAGGGACCTCGTCTGTGTGACCCATGTCACCAGCTAGACATGGGCTGAGCAGCCACTCTGTCCAGCACAGGCTCTGTCAGGGCCTTGCTCCAGGAGGCTGTGATCCACACGAACCTGTAAGAAAGGTTCTCATGCCATAGCTTTTTCCATGTGCTGGGCAATGGGGCACAGCCAGTGTGGTCCCCACCTAACCAGTGCCCAGGTGGGGCCAGCCCAGTCCTCAGTCTCTTCCCACTCACACTTCCTGCAGGTGCATGAGTCACCCAAAGCATACGCTGTGAGGTAGTAGACAGGACAATTGTGTTTGGAGACAGAAGTCAAGGGATCTTGGGAAAATCACCTAAACACTGAGGTTAAGTTCCCAAGTAGCGAAGTGCAGATAAGAGTCCTAACCTAGTACAGGAGTGTTCTTTAAGCGGCTGGAACCTTTTTAACTGTGAGCAAGCACTCTGCCTGATATCCTAATCCATAGGGTTTTACTCCTACATATACCTGGCCTCAACCACAGGAATTTGCAGTGACTTTCATTGGAAAAGAGGGGACCACAAATTCTTACTTTGAAGCAATGGCAAAAGGAAGTAAGCATTTGGGTTGGGTTGGGTTTGCACCATGCATTCAAAGATGAGTGTGTACCTGTTGATCAGATACCTTAAAGCAAGTGGGAATTTTCAAAAAGAAGAAAAGAAAAAGAAAAGAACAGAGGGGAAGGGTGTTTGGAAGAGAAAATTGAGGTAAAAACAAAAGGCAAGGTAGGAAAAGAATTTATGTTTTGTTGTAGGTTTTTCTTTACCTCCTCAAGCAAAATGTTAAGGAAAAGGAACGCTGATTGAATACAAGTTGTCTACATGCAGCCCAATGTTCTGGCACTTTCCTCCTCCAACAGGCGTTGATTTATTACCTACCATGGGCCCAGTTAGACATAGACTGCCCTTAGGGAGCCTGTAGCACAGAGGAGGAAATGCAGAAGTCAGGTGAGTGAAGAGCATTATCACACAGGGCAGCAGACATTTTAACAGTGGGGTGCATGTGGTGCTGTGGCAACAAACCACGAGTCAAGGAAGGCTGCCTGGAGGAGGTGACTGGACAAAGGGGTGGGAGAGTTGAGGGAGAGGGCAGAAAGTGTGTGTATGAGAAGGAAAAGGAATACGGTTGGGCCTGACCAGTGTGGCTCAGGTGGGTGTTGTCATAGTGTATAGTGAAAGGTCTCGGTTTGGATTCGCGGTCAAGGCTCAAGCCTGGGTTGCAGGTTCCATCCCTAGTTGGGGCACATACGAAAGGCAACCAATGGATGTTTCTCTCACATCAATGTTTCTCCCCCTCTCTTTCTCCCTCCTTTCCCTGCTCTCTAAAAATAAATAAATAAATATTAAAAAAGAATGGGATGTGGTCGGAGGTTACACACTTGTGTGTACATGCATGTGTGTGTGCAAGTGCCAGTTTGTACAGCAGGGAGTTGGGGGCAAGGAGAAACTAAAGAACACATGGCAGGAAAAACCACTAACGAGGCAGAAAAGCAAGCAGATTACAAACCGTGGAGTGTGCTACCAAGCAGTTGAGAGGTTTTGTGAAGGCCATAGGGAGCTAATAGAATAGTAGTGTGATTGATTTGGGAATGTAGAATCATCACCCTGGAATTGTCATAAAGAACGAACCTGAGAGGTCAAGGCCTGATGTGTGAACTTCTATGGAAGTTGAAGAAAGAGCAGCCTGGGTGTTCTTCTTTGGGAGGACACGTGGAGAAGCCCAGCTTCTGCTTCTACTCTTCTGTACAGCCCTGTGCAGGTCAGGCTTCCTGGACTGCTGGAGAGAAGGATGGGTTGTGATGAGGGGAGAGAATGTATGGAGGGAGGGGTGCAGGCAGCTGGATTGGCCCCCCACAGTGGGTGAACCCCCACAGGTCTGGGACAGGAGCCAGGAGCACCAGAGGAGGCTTTGAGACACTCAGTGGCCTCTCCCTCCCTTCTGTGGGAAGAGTTTTCTGACCCAACAGGTCAAGACCCCTTTGTGCAGGCTCTGTGTGGTGATGCCCAGCAGGCAGCAGAGTCACAGAGGAACTCTTCAGAGCTTGACCATGAACCTGAACACAGAGCTGCAGAGCAGCCCTGCCAGGGGAGCTGTCCTGGGTTGGGCCAGCTGCCAGTCACAGCGGCCTCCTCTGTGTCACTGCAGAGTCCCTGGCCTGCACTTTTCCCCCAGTGGATATGCTTTGTTTCATTTAAAGTATTGTTTTTAAAAGAATTTGAATGCCTCTACCTGGGGTTTTCACCACTCTCTATAATCTTGCTCCCTGCCCATTTTACTCAGAGTGGCCCTGACTTTTCTTAGGTGGTAACCGAACCAGGATGGTGTCCAGCTGTACACCTGGCTTATGGCATCCTCCCTGGAGAATGCCACCAGTGGTCCCCTGAAGGAGACATAGAAATGCTGGGAACTGTCCTTTGTTCCCCTTCTCTTTTACCTCAGGGCCTCTTCTTACCCATGGCCAGGGGGCCCGGAGAGGCAGGGAGTGTGCTGGGCTGGACAGGGAGGACATTTCAAAGCTGTGTGTGCGTATTGAGCAGAGAAAAGAGATGAAAGAGAAAAAGAACCATGTGCACACAGATGCATGTCTGGCCAGGAGTGTCGCGTGCCAGCCTGCAGAGTACCTTCGGTTCATTGTGCCACGTGCCTGTGGGAGGTGGAGCCCAGCCCCCGCCTCTGCCCTGCTTACACACGGAACCTGGCTCCCACGAAGGCCTGCTGGTCCTGGGGACTCAAACACAAACCTTGTCTTTGAATCCATGTCAGGCACAGGCAAGGGTCTTACTGCGAGGGATCTTGCAGTGGCCAAGAGCAGAAGGGCTTCCTCACAGGACAGAAGCATAAACTCTCCCCTAGAAGGCAGCAGGGAGGGCTTCTCTCCTGTGATTCCAGAGAAGGCTATGTGGATAACAGAGTGAGGACCCTGAATAGGGAAGTTCTCCCTGCCGGGTGGAGCGTGGAATAGGCCTTCTGGTCCTTCTCATGAGGAAAGGCACTGCCAGGAAATCTGGCCTTGGCAGTACCACATCCCAGACAACAGGACACAGGTTGGAGCACGTGCTGCATCTCAAACTCATGACGGCTCAGCCCCTGCCCCATAATCAGATTTCTCCCAAAGGTCTAGGGAATGCACCCCATGGGCAGTGCTCCCAAGTCAGGAGTTTTAGGACTTGACAGAATAGTCTCATAGGGAATCAGGAAGCCTGGTCTGATGTTCAGCATCCGAGTCCAGGCAGCCGCACCTGGCTTTGCTCCTTCACCCCCGGTGAGGACACGGACTTAGTGAGGACACCAGCCACATGTCCATTAAATTCATTGCAGCAGAGCATGCCAGGGCAATTCCAGTCTTCGAACATGCCCTGCTTTCTTGGGTACCTAATTCAGCGGGGTCTCAAAACCTGTGTGTACTGTTCAGGAATCATAGCTCCATTGGTTGTGGGTGTTCTGACCACTGGGCTGAGATAGGCAGAAATCTTATGCATTACAATGATAAGAAAGCTACTGGGGAATTTTATTACCCCATCGTCTTCTTGCTGCACACATTTGGCTTCATTTCAAAGAGTACGGGTTAGCAGGGCAGGCTGGCGTGTGCCTCCAAGGGCGGTGCGCCCTCCATCTCCACTCTCAGACATACTCCATGGCAGGCCCTGCGACCCCATTTCCCCTTACATCTTCCCTTACTTCCATGTGTCTGCTGTTGGGGAAGAAGCCAAGTGCTCTGTGCGGAAACCGGTGCTCTGCCCGGAGACGCAGCCACTGACAGAAGAACGCTGAGCCGGGCATAGCAGCAGCAGGGAGGCAGGCCATGGCGTCCAACAGGTCCTTTCCCGAGCAACAGGTGGAGCAGCTGGAGGGTTACGTGCACGTTTAAGGCAGGAAGTGCTTAGTAGTGGTTGGCTGATGATGCAAACGATGCAAGGGCTCACTTTATTGAAACTCTGTGCAGGATGTTAATAAATAGGCCCTTTCTTCTCGAACTTCACCTTGAACCACAGCCCTAACAGATTACACAGTAAAGCAGTGGTGACCACCAGCACACTCTAACTGGAGCTTCATCTACTCTCCTTGCCAGGGAAGGCTCCCCACTATACCCCGTGCATCTGGGAGATGAAAGCTATAGAAGATTTATTCATAATGCAGCCCCCTACAGAGCGGGAACAACAAATGCTCCCAGTTAGAGAAATGCCTTATCAGACCGGAGGCCTAAGGACAGCACACCAGGCCACGGCTGGCCGTTCCCTCTTATACTGGCTGCTCATGACGAGTGTGTTCTCTCCGCAGGCCCGGGCGCTGTCAGCGAAGTGAACAATGGGACGTCGAGGAGGGCAGGCTGCATTTGGCTGCTACCTCTCCTGGTCTTCCTACTCCTCAAATTTTGATGTGAGTGCCACTCCCCCCGCCGGGGAAAAGCTGCCGCCACGGCAACCACCAACACCACAGCACGGCAACTCCGACCACAGCGAGAGCAACCCCATTTCTAAATCAGATGTGATCAGACCAAATCCAGAGAATCAGATCCTATCGGGACAAAAATTCGAGGGAGGGGAGCAAAGAGTACTTTGGGCAAACACACGTTTCAAAAGGAGATTGAGAATCGCCTTGCGGGCTTCGCAAATGTGTAGGTACAGCTGAGCCTTCTTTCTTTCCCTGAATGGGAGGAGTGCACCCCCGGCTTTGGACCCACCCGCAAGCTGAACTGCGCGACCTCTGTTTCCAGGGCGGCGGAGGGCTCAGCCGCTCTGCCCACTAACGTGACCCTGCCGAGGGAAATTCTGGAGTCGGCCGTCCCAAATTCAATCCGTCACTAGGGACGAACCCGGAGTGAGGAGTGCGGCCCGACATGACCCCAGGGCCCTTTCGTAGACTGTGCCACTGTTGTGTGTGATATGAAATGAAATTTAAAAATAAATAAATAAAAAGGAAACGAAACAAGACAGCCTGACAGCTACAACAATCCCGCAATCAACAGTCACAACAGATATTGTTAATTTTTTTTTTCGTTTTACTACATGGACATCATGGATAATAAGGGATTCTGATCCATTATTAATTTTATTAATTATATTTTCTGATATGAGTCTAGAACTTAGTGGATAAAAACAAGACAAAACAAAAAACACACAGAGGAAAGGGGTGAAGAGAAGTATGTTTGTTAAGGATTAAAAATAGATAGTGCACTTCTTAACTAGGTTTACAACTGGTGGACCACACACCAGGCATTAACCACCTGGTGAGGATTTGGCAAATCCACCAAAAAAAAACACATGATTTAACCAATGTCTCCACCAGCGCTACAGATTTCTCCTTATCCTGGCATTTAATGCAGACAGGACTATGCTTCTCCATGCTGTTTAGAAATGGAAGGGTGATTGCACTCTATCTTGCGTTTGTTGGCTATGCTTCCTTTGATGACATATATTATACAGTATATATATATATACATATATTTTTTTTGTTAGAGTCCTAGCCATTTTCTTTCTCTGCAGGGTCCTTTCTCAGACATTACTGCATGCTGTATATGGCGTTAGCTGTGTGTTGATCTTCTAAAAGATGATAGAGTTTACTGGTAATTGTGTAATCAGCTCCTGCCTTTTCATTTTCTTGGGTTATTCACATATCAGAGACATTTATCAAAAGAGAAAAGAGAAAAAATACACTAATACCAGGCGCAGCATCTTTTCCAGGCGCGGCCCTCAGAGGCTGTCTCGGGTGCCTCGCGCCTCCATCACGAACAAACGAGCAACCGAACCAGCTAAACAGTCAGTAACCACTCGCTTTAGCCCTTATGGGATCTCTGATGCCTTTGTGACCACTGGAGAATTGAATCCTCTTGGTTTGTTTTATTTAATTTCCCACCTTTGTGTGTGTGTGTATGAAAGAGAAGAAGATGCAGTTTTTAGATCATCTTTTTTCCTCCCCTGAAGTCTGGGGACAAGAGAGGCCTCGGGGCGGGGTCCTGGATGTGACGAGGGAAAGTGGGATTGGGGGTTAGGGGAGGGCGGGGTTGTCTCTGACTTGACATTAAAAAGTGTTCCATGTCCCTCTTCACCTGGTGTGGTACCTCATTCTCAAGTGGGGGGGAGAGGGGAGCAGAGCCTGGCTGGCTCAGGTGTGAGAACATGGAGGATGGGCTCCTGGCCCAAGTGACTGCTCTCTACACCCCTCGTCGGGGTGAGCGGGGCTCTCCCTGTGGCATATGCTCTGATGACAGACAGGAGAGTCAGGAAGCCCCTTTGTCCTTCATCCTCCTAGTGGAAGCAAGGGTGGGGGTCTCACAGGGTCTGGCAGATGCTGGCAGCATCCTGCTTGTGTCCAAACACCTCACCTCATAAGGTGGGCAAAATGGCAAGTCCGGTTAGGGGCAGGCTTTTATGTGCAATTGTTTTGGGGATGCAGCAAAGGGCAACTACCACAAAACAAACAAACAAACAAACAAAGACTTGTGGTTTGGAATGGAATGATCCCGAATCCCACTGGTGTTTTAGGGACTCGCTTTCCTCCATGCCTACTCTCTAAAGCTTGCCTCTAGCCAAAAATTAAGAGAAAATAGATATTAATACAAAATAATATTCAGATCATTCCAAGCTCTCCTGATTCGTTCTGGGAATTAAATAGTAGCTGAAAAGTCACTGAGAGGCAAAAATCAGGTCAGAGCTGAGTCACTCAGGATCACTGTGCCTGAACCCTCAAAGGTTAAATCCACCCGAGAGGAGTAAGAAATGTCTGCACAGGAGCCCATTCATTTCCAGTGGCTACTAAGAAAAATGAGAAAAGACTAACTTCATGCTTTTTGTGTGTGTCCTTCAGCCCTTCCAGCCCCACCTCCAGGTGCCAGATACCCCAGCTTTTCCCCAGCAAAACAGTGAGAGCAGTCTGGCAGAGCTTGCAGATTGTGGCTGAATTGGTGTCATTCCTTTTTCTTCTACAATTGCTGAAGTCAAGGGTTTGGGGACTGTCCCTTTAGGATAACTTTGGGGGGATGAGATTTACTGGGTCTCTCATGGTTGGAACTTCTGCAGACACTGATCAGAGGATTGGATGTGCATCCCGGCTCATTGGGAGAGAGTGAAAAATGCACAGGTAATGCCCATGTTGCTAAACTTGCACCCAGAAACACCACTGAATAAAATATACCAAGGCATCTGCAAGGAGATGTTTCCTAGGCTTTGCTGGGACAAGAGAATACAGTGGCAAATGACATCCATTTGAATCAAAACTTTATTTTTTATAGCAACAAAGCATGCTTTGAACACTCTATCACCATCCTCCCAGGAGTCATTTGTAAAGTGACAGTGTCAACTTTGTAAAGTGACATTCATGAGGAAGACTTCATTTTACTTGTTTGCCAACTCAATTTCCCTTCTCATCTTGTGGTTCTTTAAGGCTCTATTTATTCAAGAGCATGTCCCTTGTATACCAAGCTTTGCCATAACTGATGAGGACACCAGATAGAACTTCCTGTTCTTCCTCAAGAGGATTCTTCTAACTTCTGCTTAGTGTGCCATGTGAGCCCCAATCTTCTGAATTCTAGTCTATAAAGGCCGTATCCAGGTGCCCATGAGCAGGGGCCTTCAATAAGATTTAGAATTCAGTCCAGGAGGGCTTGACCTCGATAGAAGTTTATAGGGCAAACCTTAGACCTATCTGTTCTCAGGAACATGGATAAACAGTGTTCATTCACATAAGTAAAGAAAAACATCTGGAATACTGCATACAAGTTTTTTTGTTTGTTTTTTGTTTTGGTATAGATATGATGGAAGACCCTCACTCTAGGCTGGCCTGGATTTCCAATGAACTAGACCCATTTAGACTTATACATTAGACACTATCATACTTTAAGATTCAGCCACTACCCCTAACATTAAGATGCCACTTGAAGGGATTGTGATTCAGGTTTGGCAGGTTTCCCTATGATAGCCTCTCATATTTATGTGTGTGTGAATGGAGGAGGGAGGTAGTGGGAGGTGTTCAAGCTCTGACTCCCCTAACCACTGCTGTAGAATCCCATTCATCTTCTTCCCACAGAATATCTGCTCCTCTCCAGCCACACAGATGTGCAACAGGTCTCAAGTTCCTGCAGTTAGATCTTTCCCCATCAATGCTTCTACACAGTGGGTTCAATTGTCTAACTTGAAGCATTGTGAGTACTTGTCCAAGGACTGTCTTAATGAGTGGAACTTGCTTGCAGAGCTGGGTTTGTGGTCACAGTGAATGACCCATGCATGAACGTTCGTTTGTCTTGTAGGGGGTGATGAGGATGGTGATGATAAATGACAATTAGTGTTATTGGAGCTGAAGATAAGGTAGAAAATGGATGAGCAATAAAATCTGATTGTAATTTAGCTCATTTCATTGGGCTACCCCATCTTTATCTTCTACCCTTGGACTATGAATCTAGAAAAAAAATCATCACACTAGCCAGTCACAGTGATAAAAAGTGAAATTGGAATCAGCAAAACATCCACAATTTTCTATTCTTATAAAGTCAAAAAGTTTGAAGTGCTTCTCACTAGAAAAGTCTACCCAAAAGGGGAGATGGGGCCAAGTGGATGGTCTCTGCTCACGCAGCATCTGCAGGCGCCTGTGCTACTGCCAGCCCAGTGTGCATGCACACAGCAGCCACTCAGCCTCCATCAGACAAGCGGCCTTTGGAATCAGTGGTATCTGACAGAAACACTGAATAATAACTCTTTCTGGCATTTTTAACTAAATCTCAGAAGTAATGTGGGACACAATTGCGAGTAGAGTCTCCTTTGTCATCCCATAACTGCTTAATCAGGCCATTCTAAAGCCTTACTTCTCTCGCCCTGCTCTTGATTCAAATCCTATTTCAAATCTATCTGCCTCTAAGGCAATAAACTCAAATTAATATTCTCATGATTTGTGAGTAACTGAGACCCCTAAGTCTCTGCATCTTCATTCTCATTTCCCTGCCTCCCACACCTCTGTATCATTCACCACATATTTATGTCATATGACTATAAACAAAAGCTTTGTTTAAAGACCCTCTAATTCCTGAGCTCATGTTAAGATCACTTTTATAATCTATGCCTGATGCATTTGGGGCATTATCTTTTATAAGAGAGTCTTGGTTTAGCTTTAGTTTTTTGAATATTAATCTTATCCCCTTCCATGCCTCCAATAACTATCTGCTTCAGGCATATTGTGAGAGTATACGAGTTTTTCCCTATATTTTAGGGAGTGTTAGAATCCTTTAAAAGTAAATTATTTCTCTGCCAGAATATATAGCTTCCAAGAAAGATAAATTGGCTGTGGCCATGACACTTACCTTGTTTTTAATGAATTTAATTTTGGAATTTCTGAACATCCATGCAGTTTTTGGATACAAAACTGAATTGCTAATTAGTACAACTAGGTTCTTCTAGCCCAGATTCTATTACTAGCTAGTTGAGTTCCCTTTTCTTATGATTTATATAAGATGTTAATATGAAAATGGCTAATTTTTGAATCTTTAAAATTCAGTAATTAAGGAATTTCACATTCCATAAGGCCTATGCAAGAAAAAATTAGGAGAGCTGCATTTTTGATTGACAATTGAAGGTGTGAATCTGGGGACAAACTTTAGAGCCAAAATATTGTTTGTTTGTTTGTTTGTTTTCCAAAATGGCTCAGAGAAGGGAACACATGCAACCCTAAGTGTCATTTCTACATATTCTTCAAGTGACTCCTTAAGGAGGGCTTGAGGAATGACACTGTAGCACTTGGAAAGGAGTGTCATCTAATAAAATACAGTAGCTTTTTCTGGAAAGAATTGATGCTAGCCCCAAGCTGCTGTTCAGTTTTGCTCTCTGTATGACTCAAGTAAAACAAGAGAGAATAAAGTAACAAAGTCTGGAGATCTTAAAATCTGGAGACAGAAAAGATATTAGCACTAGGCAAAATTCTCAGAGTTCTCATATGGAATATGTACATGTGGATGTGTGTGTGTGTTACTTACTGTGATTACTTAATTACCCATTCTTCAAAACAGATGACACTGATTATTCCCAAGATTCATCTTTAAAATAACAGGAGATAGTAATAAAAAGAAGGGTCTCCAGAGAAGGTTTTACATTATCATATCACTCCATCTGGTAAGTGTTCTGCTCAAGGGCCCAGAAATGTTTGTGCAGGTCTCATTTGATATATTTGTGTATCGTTGGTTCAAGTCTAAGTCCAGCAAGCCCCCATCACCATTTCATCCTGTCCCCTAGACCCTGTACTTCACTTTTAACTTCTCTGTGAAGAGCAGGAGGACCCAAGAGGCTGTGGGCAAAGCTCAGACAGAGCCTGGCAGAGGAAGATGTGGGAGCCCTAGTCCCTTCCTCAAATGTTTGTGCCCAGTCACTCTCTTATGCTTGAGTTTCTTCTGAAGCTCCATTTGCAGAGCTGGTAGAAGGATCAGGTGGAGCCATCAAGCCATACCTCTTGCTCGCTGTGTACTGCAATGGGGAGAAGAGCACAGGCCTATGGAACACATGTGGTGAGGGGTCCTTGTCTTCCCCTGGAAGGATGAGGGATAAAGAGGAGGGACAAGATAAGAAAAGCTTTCATGTCCCCAATTCAAACCAGCAACCTATCATTCTTTTTATTCATGTCCCCTATTCTTCTTATTCATATTCTTCCACTGGAAAGGAAGACACACAGGAACTGAGATATACAGCAAAAGATGCTGTCTGTGTCCACCTTAGAGATTAACAAGCAAGAAAAAAGAAAATAAAGCAATAAAATAGAGAAGAAATAGATAAAAAGGTAAAACTCATACTTGAGTCTGTGTGTGTGAGGAAGTGTGTACATACATGTATCTCATGTGTTCTGTGGTGGTAAAAGCAAGTTGTTACAGCCTAGAGGTGAGGTGCTGCCTCCTTACTCAGTGGGCCTTCTGAGCATAGGCTCCCAGCAAAATGCAATCAGTTTTTGCATATTAAAGGTAGCCTGTGCTACTGCATGTCAATTTCCCCTCA